TTTTATTAAGGGTGCAAAATGTATTGTCATTATTCTACTGAAGAAATTTGGTAGACCACATAATTCGTAAAAACCTCGTTTAAAAGTATATTGTTTTGATCCAATTACAAAGCTTGTTAATTGTTGTGTTTCTTCTGTTAAAGGTACTTGATTGTATGCTGAGCATAAATCACTCGTGGTGAAGAAATTTCCTTTTAGCTTAGTGATGAGCGATCCTATTGGTTCTAATGGCCATGAATAACGACTTAAGTCAGTTATTGAGTTCAGGTATCTCGCATCGATAACGAGCTTGACTATGTTCCCTTTTGGAAGTATTATAATTGGATTTATAAATTCTGATCCCATTTCGATATTACTTCCCATTTCTCTAATTATTCCTGATTTACATAGTTGGTCTAGTAAGTCATTCAGTTTTTCTTGGTAATGCAATGAAACTCTTGATGGTCTTTGTTTAGTCAATACAGAGTTTGGTAAAAGCTTTACACGGAATTTTTGCTTTATCAGTCCTACGTCGTATTTATGTTGTGAATATACGTCTTTATTTTGTAATAGCATATTCATTAGGTCTTGTAATTGATATTGGTCTATATCAGAGTGAGTAAAGTCAAATTTTTTTAGAAACTCTTGTTTTGTTTTGTCAAATTTTTTTTGGATTTCATGAATTTGTATATTTGTAAAATGTGTTTGAGAGTTTAGTTCAGATTTGGGTTTCAGGTCCTTCAATTCCTTGCTGAAATCTGTTTCTAGTTCGTATTTATTAGTATAATCTAGTTCTTTTTGTTTAAAAATTTCCTTGTTTTTCCTTTTTGAATTTTTATTATTTTCACCAATTGATGCATTTTTGAAAACCAGTTGATCTTTTGATTGCTCGCTTACATGAAAAATATGATCAAGATGTTCATTTTTGTTGAACAAAACTTCCATAAAAGCTATATTGTCTGCGACGCTGTAGATTGTTTTTGAATCAGTTTCAATGTCCTCGAAAGTTTGTCCAATTGAACCTTTGGATATAATGACCTTCGATTCTTTAGGATTGTTTAACATTATAGGTAACGTTTTCTCGTCATGATTACAATATGTGTTATAAGTGTATATTCCTTTTTGTTGTAGGTCTTTATCAAGTTTGAACGATGTTCCTTTTTTAAAAACTTTGTCCGCTGGGGATATGGAAATGACACGAGTTGATTTTGGTGCTAAAGTTATAGTTTGGTCCAAAAGTACATTCTGATAACTACATATAAATGGATAGCTTTTGCTTTTTATATTGCTTATAGCGACTGATACTCCTGGGTACATTTTGAGTTCTAGTTTTGCTGTTGAAAAATCGATCGATTTAGTTGAATTAGAGAGGAAATCCATACCTAATATATTAAGTTTACATCCGTCCTTGGCCGCAACCCATGCTCAAATTTTTACAAAATAATCACCTTTACTGTCAAAACTAGCGTTAAAATTTGTATATCCTAAGAGTTTGAGTTTTTGTCCATTAACAGCAAATGTTTTGGATTGTGCTTTAGTAAGTGTCAACTTTTGTATTTTTGCGTATTCTAAATAGGTATCATAATTTAACAGTGAACAAGTTGCTCAATTATCTAATAAAAATTGGGTTTCAAGGCCGTTATTTTTATTTTTGTCTCCGACGGGATGTTGATATAGATTAATATACATTTGTGACTTTTTATCTTGCGGAGACTGTTCTAGTTTAAAGTAAGTTCCTCGCCTTCGTCATCGCTGTAATAGCCATGGATTTTATTCTCACTAAATTGTACTTTAGGGTTTCTGTCTCGGCTATTTTCTCTGGAGGATGGTTTTGAATCACCTAGGGATCTTGATTGATTATTGTAGGATGGGAATTTATTTTCGTGAGGTCTGTTTTGGTATTGCGTTCTATAATTGTCTTGTTAAAATGATCTTCTATTTCGTTCGGGTATAGAATTGCTTCTGTTCCTATTTTGATTATAGTTATTTGAGGTTGTGTTGTAAGTATTATAACGATTTGGGGTATTTTGATCGTTAAATCTATTATTGAAATTTCTATCTCTTGATCCAAAACTTTGAGATCGAGATCTATCGAAACTATTTGTTCTATTATTGAACTGTCTAGGATACGGAGAATATGGTCTGTTATTGTTATTTCGCTGGTTATAGCCATTGTATCGATTGTTATAACTATTTTCTTCTCGAGGCCTAGATCTCCTATTATAATTGTCTGAGAATTTTTCACGATACTGAGGTGGTTTTCTGTTTTGATCTTTGTGGTCTCTATATTTAAAACAAACACTGATAGTATGACCTGACCTACGACACCATTTACAAAATCGGGTATGGTTTTGTTTATTTCTGGGTTCATTTGGATTATAGGCTGCATTTATTTTATGATCTTTCATTAGTCCTGTTAACTCCTTAAGCTGATCCTTTATTCCTTCTATCTCCAATTTATTATCAACACTTGAGGCTGTTCCAGTAAACTCACTACTTACTGCAAAACTTTAGTCTTTTGTTGCAATATGATCTTTTAATTGTTGCCATGTTGCGGGTGGATTCTCAATTAGGAATTGATGAGCCTTTTGTTTCAAGCCTGGCGGGCTTAAGCCGCGTACAAAGAATTCCATTTTCTTTGCTGTTCTTTGATCATCATTAAAAGTTGGATTAGGCCATCCACGGTCTACTGCGGTGCTTAATCTATGTATGTAGCTTTTAATGAATTCATCAGGTTGTCTTTTTATGTTTTCTGCTTCTATTCGTCTCCTATACTTATCTTTATCATCAGTGAATCTATCTATGAATTGATCTCTTATATCATTCCAAGGTAAGTTTGCTGGTTGAATGCTTAGTAATTTTATCCTAAGTTATAAGTCTCACCTTAAATCGTCAAATTGTCTTGACAAAAAGTAGAGTAGAAACGATAGTTAGAAAAGGTATGAATTAATTAGTTGGTTAAATACAGAGCACTGGGTAATTAGATTATTTAAGCGAATCGAACAGCTTAAAGAAATATACCTATGAGGGGAGGTTGAGTTAATCTTATTTTGTTCATCAATATTTTATCTTCTTACTAAGGTCGATGACTGAGTAGTATTTCTTGGGTTGCCTTGATGTTGTCCACTTGGCACTTCTGGTTTGGTTGTCAGTTTTGTCCTGCCGTAGTCCTTTGGGTACTTGTAGTCCAGACTTCCTCAGATGGGGTTATCTCGAGTATCTCGTTTTATAATTTTATCGAACTTGAAATGAGAATTTATTCTTTGTTTTTTTTGTGAAAAAGACTAGTTTAATTTTACTGTAAATGCAGAGAAGAAAAATTATTTATTTTTTGAAAAGGTCTAACTGAAGATATCTAACTTGCTGCTGACTGAGCAAAATGAAACACTGAAGATTTCAGGCCATTCCTTTTGCTCGTAAGCATAAACCGGCGGCTGATTCAATCTTTAATTATTCAGGTTTCACCTGCTCCTTTGTTCTCCCTTTCTAATAAGGGAATTTTCAACTAGTTTTTACTTGATTTTTTCAAATCAAATATCTTTAATTTATTAGTCCCCTTTGATAAAAACCGCAGCCTTCAGTTTGTCTTATTAAAAATTCATATTACTCTCTCTGATGCATCATATTGCAGGTGCACTTCTGCTTAATCAAAGCAAGGAGAATTTCAGTGCAGCCGGCAAGACTGCTAAATATTTATCCAGTTTGTTTCAAGTTAAGTTAAAAGGGACGTATTAATAATCGCCGCCCTTTTAAAATATTGAGCATGAAAAAATGAGAAAAATTGGACAAGTATTTAAAAAGGAGTGGATTTTCAAAACAAGATTTTATAGTCCTAATAAGAGTAAATCAGTCAATATCTGATTTAGTGAAAAGAGGATTTAATTTAAATGGCACGCTCCAATTTAGAATAAACAATTAAGACAATGGTCTTTTGTCTGTGTAGTATTTCTCAATACTACAGCCAGTATAGGGTAACTTATGCCCGCTGTTTTACAGTCTTATTATAACGCTTAACGTAAACGGCAAAATCGTACGGCTCACAAATTATTCGAACTTCAATAAAACAAATTGATCCAAATGACGCGTTACTAGATGAAACATTTTCTTTTGCAATTTTTTTATTCAGAGTTTTTTATGCTTCAAAAATTTTCGGCCGTCGAGAAATCATTTTCCAGAGCGCAAACTAAAATCCAACTTAAAACGAACAATTTTCGAAATGCATGAGTGTTATCATTTGAGATAGATTGACTAACTATTTTATGACTAAACCAAAAAAACTACTTCAGATTCCCTAATAGGGTGTCGGAACAGTTAACGTCTTTCTCTGCCACGAGAAGGTTTGCATATATTTATTATTTTGACCACTTCTGAAAAGAGAATTATTTTTAACCATCTAGGAAAGCCTCAAAAAATGCCGAGGAGCATTTTGGGTATCTAATTTGAACACTTTGGGTTAGGTTTTTGATTCTAACTAAATTTAAAAAAAAATCGGTGATAAAAAACTGATCTGAACATTTAAGTTTCTCAGACTGCATTTCATTCAACTTCCAGACCATTTTTTTTACTGGCTCTAACCAAAATGTTTTTTTTTACCCCTGCATTTTTTCTGTTTTTTTTAAGATAATCTGGAAAGTTGTGAGCACTCAAACTTGAGTTTTCACAGTGTGACTTTGGATTTCTTTCAGGTTTATGTCGAACTCATTTGCTAAGTTAAGAGCAAGTTAAGGTCTTTACTAACAAGTTATTTAAATGAATAAAAAATTTTAGTTTTAAAAACAGATTTTAATTTTCAGACTTTTCAGCGAAAAAAAGTACTAGCTGGTCCATTTTATCTAATTTATTTAATATAAGTTCAAAGAAATTTAACAGGGCATAATGTTCTACGAAATTTGAAGTTAGGATTAGTTTTTTTTGGTGTATTGGCAATATTTGTCTCTTTGATCCCCCTCCCCCCTCAATTCTGGTTGTCAAATTTTCCCAAAGGGTCCCTTATATATATGTATATGTATGAATTATATAGATCGTTCTTAAAATTTTTATAATATTTTTTTCAGCAAGAACATCTTGTGACAGTTATAATTGTATAATATTCGAGTTTTTCATTGGTCATAAAACCTCGTTGCATTAATTAAGTTACTATACCATGGGCTTAAAGCTTCAGTTGAAGCCTTAGTTCGTGTAACTTTTTGTAGTAAATCAAGTCTTCTTCCACAATCTTTCGAATATCTTCTGAAAAGTGTGACATATCAGGTGGTTCTGACAACATATCCGCAACATCTGGATCTTTTCTAATAGTCTTGGTTGACATTAAGTCTCCAAACCATACAGTTCCCCAACATTCTATTTCCTCGTTGAAGTTATCGCCTTCCCAGTTTAGCATACTATCGCAGAATTCTAGTCCATAATGACTGCAATATTTTTTCAATATTGCTTCTGGATCTCGGATGAAATCATCAGCGTCTATTATGATAGCTTGTGGATCGATTTGCTCAATGACATGCTGGTATAGCTTCCAGATGTGTTCGAACCTTCCTTCTTCTGGCTGAATTGTTTTGAAACCTGGGTCCTCTTGGTTGCTCATGACCTTAAGCATTGATGTCATAGTCTTGAAGGGATGTCTAAACATACAAGTGTAAGCTATTTTCCCCATTACAGTCCCTTACCAATAATTCTCGTAAGTAAAGAGCATCAAACAATTGTCATTTTGTCTTACGAAGGCCACGGGCAGGTGGGGTCGAGTTTTAATATATTTGTCAATCTTTTTTTAAATCAGCGAGTCAGCCGTTTCCAACTTTTTGAGCTCTTTTCATATTTGGGTTTTTGCACAGCAGGCTTTTTTAAAAAAAAAACTGTTTTTTGAGCACTTTTGTGGAGGAACTGTGAACATAAGAAAGTGCTTTATCTGTTATTATATACTACTCTAAATATTGGCACAGAAAGCGCGTTACAAAGTTTCACAGTTGATCATCCAGAATTGGCTGCAGCCACTTATTTACATTTATGTCGTTAATAAGTGTAAAGGAACATTTTGGCTGCCAGAATTGAGGATGGAGTCAATATTTGAAAAAAAAATGAAGCTGGGCTATTTAACGCATATCAGGGGCGATCTAAGCTTTGTAGAGAAGTAAGACTGAATTTTCAAAACAAAAAGTTAAAACATTTTTTTGATAAAATGGCTTCTGCGATTCGCAGAGGGTTTATGAAATGTTGGGATTGATTTGAGGGGTCCCTAAAAAAACTAAAGCCTTTTTTGCGCCAAAATTTTTGCGTTGTTTGGATTGATTTGCGCTGTTCGGATTGATTTGAGGGGTCCCTATAAAAACTATAGCCCTTTTTGCACCAAAATTTTCAGCGTCGCTCAAACCCCAAAAAATAGGAACAATGGCGCAGTAAATTTTTTTTCATAAAAATAAAAACTGCTTCTCCCGATCTTAAGCATTGTACGTTTTTTTTCCTTGCAACAAAAAAAAACCTGCAAAAAGTCACTTTATTCTATATGACTGTACAGAGATATGCTGGATTTCTAGTTCCATGAAGCTAATTTAAGACCTGATAAGGAACGAATGTCGATACCCATCTGGTATCTGTTTCAAGTGTTCCTCCGGATATACATAATATGCCATTTCTTTCCCAAATACAAGTCTTTTTCCTTCATACGGTGCTTCATATTTCTTCTTCACCAACTCAAAAGTGCTTCCATCTTCTGGAAGATCAGCTGGTATCTCCAGCTTTCTTCTGGTTCTCGCTTCTGTTCCATAGTACCATGGAAATCGCATTGGCTCGCAGAACGTGATCGAGTCCTCAGCCCCCATCATGCATCGCATGAATGTCGTGCTCATCGTTCGCCATGTCCCCCACTGCAGTATTTTAACCTTGGGTACACAAATCAGACGGTTGACATTCGAACGTAAAAATGTGGCTCAATTATATAATTTTGTAAGAGAACCTCAAATGCCCAAGTAGAATTTTTCACCTAACTTGAAGCAAATTTTGAGGAGCTTGAGCGTTTATTTTAGACGATTTTGCTTAAAATATTGCTTCAAAATACGCGCGTTCACCGGTTTTTTCTACAAACAATTAAGCGGTTTTTGAGTGGTATCTTAACAAAAACCGCTAAAAATCACGCTAGATTAGAACAATTTTTGGGCGGTGTTTCACACAAAATATCACACAAAAACACTCAAACCGAACCACCCCTCAAAAAGTTCTCAAAATGCTCATTTTGAACCAAGATATATAAAGCGCACTTATCAAAAAAAAGGCTCAAACCTTACTTCAAATTAGGCGGAAAATCTCGACTCGGGTTTGAAGCTAACACTCGAACTTGAATTCATCTAACTTGAACTTGAAATTGGTACTGCTCATTTTTGTACTCAGTAAAATCCTCAATGTTTTAACAAACATTGAAGATGAGAAAAAGCGAAACATCTCGTGTTGAGGAAAGGATGGAGTTAAAAGTTTTCATTTTTGTGTTTATCAGCAAACCTAATAAATAAATACTAGATGTTATTAGTTAAAATACTCGATTAATTTTCTGGTCTCAATTTGAAGTGTCTAGCTAATTTTCAAATATACATATTTTCAAATATATATATATATATATATATATTTCAAAGCCACAAGGCTAGCAGATCTTTTTGAAGAAGTGCAAAAAAACTGCGAGTGCGCTCACCGTTCTGCTGTTCGATTATATGTCAAGAAAACACGTCTTAATGAATGGATAATCAAAATAAATAAAAATGTTAAATAATTCATAGCAAAATCAGCTGTCAAAATCAAAATGCTTATTAGAACAACTAGGTCCCTATCAACCAGGGAAAAACCCTGAACGCTCCGACTGCCCGTTAAGGTATCTATATCAGATTGTTTTCTAATCTCCATACAATGAAGCCATAAAATTTTCAAAAGTAGTGAAAACTGTCATTTTTATGTTTTCGTTTTCAATTTTGTTGAATCTCCATCCATTCCGCACGCAAAATCGAGCTAAAAATTATAAATTCCTTTTTCTTCAATAAAATAATTTTCCGATTTTCTCAGATATTGTTGGATAATTTTTCATAACAACTTTCACCAAAAATAATTTGATTTTTTTCTCACAAAGCAACGAAAACTTTTTAATGTCCAATTATAAAGTTTTCTTACGCTATGTAAAAAATCTCAGGTTTTGTGACACATCGCAACTCAAAATGTTTAAAACTGATTTATGACTTGAAAGCTTTGGTTTAAATTTGCCAGTAGACGCGCTACTAGCTCGTCAGCGCTTTGCGGCGATAACCGCTTCTAAGTTTTTTTTTTAAATTTGCCTTATGATATGGCAAACACACATCACGTCGGTGGATATTTTTTGAGTTGCCTTTTGAGAGTTATATTTTGTTGAGAGTTGTCTTTTGTGGCCAGTTGTCGTATTAGGAAAACTCAATGAGATTTGCTTGACAACAAATGTTTTGCGAAGAAATATTTATCATGAATACAAATCATTAAAAAAATTTTCAAACCAATTATAAACAAATTAGAGTTCACTAATTTTTTTTCTTTAAATAAATTTGAGAGGGCATCCAAAAGACTTTTAACGAAATCTGCGTGAATGCCACAGAAACCAATACCGTTTTGAGGTATATCTCATTCTTACTATAAAAGCATACTTTTTTCAGTAAAATTAGATTTGTTTTTTCATAAAAAGAAACTGGCCAATGTAAAACTGCAATTATCTAATCATCAAATTAATTTACATAAAATCTATCTGAAAAGTTCCGAACAGCCCAAGATACAATTGTCAGGAAACTATGAGGAAAATTGTCCAAATTGTTTTTTGACAGCTGATTTATAAAGTCCGGATAATTTTCATAAAAGGAATTTGGTGTTTAAGGACAGTTTCAACCCCTGACCAGAAAAGGTTCTAATGATTTCTTTTGTATTACTCTGTACTAATTTAATTGAAAGATTAAAACATCAAGTCGACGCAATTCTGTTTCAGATATAGTTTAAGTTGAACAATGTTTTTTGACAGAAAACTTCCTCTCAGATTATAACACAATTTAACCTATGAAATAGATTTTATAATTCATCTAATTTAGTGCTTTTTGTTGTTTCTATTTTTTGGTTGTACGCACTTTTGTAGGCTAATTCTCACATGTTCCTTCAAGTTTCAGGTTTGTCTCGCTCAGTAATTTGTTCCGGAGAAATGTCTAAATGTTTTTTGAGTCTTTCTGTGTTTTCGTCAAAATTTAGTTTGTGATCTTAAATTTACTTCTAAAATGTGAAAAGTTGAACTTTTTCTATTTATTCACCGTTCATTTTGACAATTTCAAAGTTTTTTTTTGTAATTCTGAGTACTGTAAACTTATCCATTTTGTTTTTTTATTGCAAGGAAATTGGCTGTTTAGAATCAGGATGTTTGATAAATTTTCGTTTTTTTAAACAACATTTATACTTTGTAGGAGAATTCAAAATTTTTTTAATGAAAATTAATTGAACGTTTCTTGATTTGAGTATAACAATCAGCAAAAAAATCTTTCCAGAATATTTATAGTTCCACAATCTAGTGAAAAATTTATAATGAAACGTTTTGATGAAATTGTAATTCCTTAATTGGAAAAAAAACAAAAACAAAAAAACAGTCATGCATGTCGAAAAGCAGTTTCATTTTTAAAGTTACTTATTTCGATTATAACCCAATCAAAATTCAATTAATTTTAAAATTTGTTTTGCAGTGAATTTCCTTACGAGGCCAAACTATGCATTTTGAGAGTTGTGAGTGGATTCCCCAACAGGTCAAAATCAGATTTGTCGCAAAATCCGCAATTTTGCTGTTTTTCATTGATAGTCTTTGCTGTTTTGGATTTCACAAAAAAATAAACAAAACTCAATATCGGTCAAAATCACTCCAAAAACAAGTTTTTGTGAAGACCGGAACAGTTTGTCGAATCAACTAACAAATAAAAAACATAGCTAGTGTAAAATGAGCTGTTGCGGCATCATTTTAAAGCGGAATTCACTTTTTGTTTGCGGATTCAATTTACATATAAGGTAATGTTCCAAACTACTTTTAACAGGTATCTTCAGCGGTTTCAATCACAAATACTGCTTATCAGTTGAAAGATCAATTGTGCGATCTCAGATTTTGCCAATTTACCACCGATTTCGATCCAACTCCTGTCCCCAACTTACCGCCAACATTTATATCACTTTTTGGTAATTTATGCCTAATTCTGATCGTAATTCTTTCCAGGATGGATCTCAACTCCTGCCAGTTTCGATCTCAACTCCTGCATTCTACCCAAATTCGATCTCAGTTCCTGTCAATTCCTTCGATCTCAATTCCTTCTATCTCATTCTTTTTCCCGCCCGAATCATCTCATCTCAAATAATGATGATTTGAAACCACTATGAAGCCAAAAATAACCCAAATTAGGATTTCATTTGGTGATTGTTTCCAAATCAATCCCGAAAACGTTGCCTGCTGGTAAATTTCCCAATTAGACTAAAATTTGACATTCACCGATATTGTTAAGCAATATTTGTTTATTTGTTCATGAATTCCACTAAACTTGTTTGTCCTCGCTGTTGATTCCCGCATTTCTAGATAATAATTCCAGCTCTGTTTTTAATTGTTCATATTTAACAACTGGTTTTGTTCAGTAATAAAAAAATTGCGGAAAGCATATACATTTTACGAAATCCAGAGCAACTAGCTACTTTCACTTGTTGCAGAATCCGCGACAAAACAATATTGCCGACAAAATTTACGTTACAAGTGTTTGTGCGCGGAATCCACGGAAATTTTGCAAATGAAATTTAGAGTCTTGTTTAGAGTCTTGTTTCCGGAATCAAGGATCATACAGACACCAAATACTGCGCTCTACACAGCAGAGTTTAAACTCATAAAGTTCTCTGTTGTTTCTTATTTTTATGGAATCGAGAGACCATATATGTAGGTAAATTTGACAAAACAAACTAAACAAATACCTTACCTGTTTTCTGTGGGCATTTGAATTCATCTAGTATAATACTGATTTTGTAAAAATCTGAGAACCAAGCTAACCAAGTTTTAGTAATTTCAACCAAACATAAACGTATCAGCGTCAAAAATAGATCATACAAAATGACTTTATTATGAGAGTTGTGAGTGGATTCCCCAACAGGTCAAAATCAGATTTGTCGCAAAATCTGCAATTTTGCTGTTTTTCATTGATAGTCTTTGCTGTTTTGGATTTCACAAAAAAATAAACAAAACTCAATATCGGTCAAAATCACTCCAAAAACAAGTTTTTGTGAAGACCGGAACAGTTTGTCGAATCAACTAACAAATAAAAATTATAGCTAGTGTAAAATGAGCTGTTGCGGCATCATTTTAAAGCGGAATTCACTTTTTGTTTGCGGATTCAATTTACATATAAGGTAATGTTCCAAACTACTTTTAACAGGTGGTCTTCAGCGGTTTCAATCTCAAATACTGCTTATCAGTTGAAAGATCAATTGTGCGATCTCAGATTTTGCCAATTTACCACCGATTTCGATCCAACTCCTGTCCCCAACTTACCGCCAACTTTTATATCATTTCTTGGTAATTTATGCCTAATTCTGATCGTAATTCTTTCCAGGATGGATCTCAACTACTGCCAGTTTCGATCTCAACTCCTGCATTCTACCCAAATTCGATCTCATTTCCTGTCATTTTGATCTCAGTTCCTGCCAATTCCTTCGATCTCAATTCCTTCTATCTCATTCTTTTTCCCGCCCGAATCATCTCATCTCAAATAATGATGATTTGAAACCACTATGAAGCCAAAAATATCCCAAATTAGGATTTCATTTGGTGATTGTTGCCAAATCAATCCCGAAAACGTTGCCTGCTGGTAAATTTCCCAATTAGACTAAAATTTGACATTCACCGATATTGTTAAGCAATATTTGTTTATTTGTTCATGAATTCCACTAAACTTGTTTGTCCTCGCTGTTGGTTCCCGCATTTCTAGATAATAATTCCAGCTCTGTTTTTAATTGTTCATATTTAACAACTGGTTTTGTTCAGTAATAAAAAAATTGCGGAAAGCATATACATTTTGCGAATTCCAGAGCAACTAGCTACTTTCACTTGTTGCAGAATCCGCGACAAAACAATATTGCCGACAAAATTTACGTTACAAGTGTTTGTGCGCGGAATCCACGGAAATTTTGCAAATGAAATTTAGAGTCTTGTTTAGAGTCTTGTTTCCGGAATCAAGGATCATACAGACACCAAATACTGCGCTCTACACAGCAGAGTTTAAACTCATAAAGTTCTCTGTTGTTTCTTATTTTTATGGAATCGAGAGACCATATATGTAGGTAAATTTGACAAAACAAACTAAACAAATACCTTACCTGTTTTCTGTGGGCATTTGAATTCATCTAGTATAATACTGATTTTGTAAAAATCTGAGAACCAAGCTAACCAAGTTTTAGTAATTTCAACCAAACATAAACGTTTCAGCGTCAAAAACAGATCATACAAAATGACTTTATGCTGTTGTAGATTTGCCGCTCATATTAGTAAGCTGTAAAAAAACATTATCAGCATAATGAATACTATTCATCATATCATCGGTAGAGCTAATCAGCAGAGTTTATAGCTCTGAATGAAAGCTAAAAAACAATCAAAATTGAACAGTTAATTTTTGCCAACAGGTTATAGAAATTTTATTTCGGCTGAATGGTTTGTCTTTTCTTGGGTGTTTTTTTTTTATTTACTTCTTCCTGTCTATTCAAAAATATCTGGAGTTTTATGTAATGCTAAAATGCCTATGAATTGACAAAAGAAGGCTTTCATCAGGATTGCGGGATTTTGATGGCCTCAGCATTAACCAGATGTGCACATGAATAAAAGGCACCTTTGTGAACGTCCATTCGAGACTAAAAAAAACCAGTTAATATTTTTAATCGTAAAAATAATAATCGAAGAATAACAACGCAAACTGTCGCGCGTTGATAATACCAAATTAGCCAAATTAGCATAATTCAAATCTCACAAAAACGATCTAAAGGGGAATTTTTGACATTTGATTTTCGGTAGTATATTCATTTTATCTAAAAAGTTTCTGTCAAACACGTGTAATTAAAAAGTCGAAAACTGACTGAAGAAAAAAAAAACCCAACCCCAAGCATAAATATTTCGCACTTTCTTGGTGTATTGGCAATATTTGTCTCTTTGATCCCCCTCCCCCCTCAATTCTGGTTGTCAAATTTTCCCAAAGGGTCCCTTATATATATGTATATGTATGAATTATATAGATCGTTCTTAAAATTTTTATAATATTTTTTTCAGCAAGAACATCTTGTGACAGTTATAATTGTATAATATTCGAGTTTTTCGTTGGTCATAAAACCTCGTTGCATTAATTAAGTTTCTATACCATGGGCTTAAAGCTTCAGTTGAAGCCTTAGTTCGTGTAACTTTTTGTAGTAAATCAAGTCTTCTTCCACAATCTTTCGAATATCTTCTGAAAAGTGTGACATATCAGGTTGTTCTGACAACATATCCGCAACATCTGGATCTTTTCTAATAGTCTTGGTTGACATTAAGTCTCCAAACCATACAGTTCCCCAACATTCTATTTCCTCGTTGAAGTTATCGCCTTCCCAGTTTAGCATACTATCGCAGAATTCTAGTCCATAATGACTGCAATATTTTTTCAATATTGCTTCTGGATCTCGGATGAAATCATCAGCGTCTATTATGATAGCTTGTGGATCGATTTGCTCAATGACATGCTGGTATAGCTTCCAGATGTGTTCGAACCTTCCTTCTTCTGGCTGAATTGTTTTGAAACCTGGGTCCTCTTGGTTGCTCATGACCTTAAGCATTGATGTCATAGTCTTGAAGGGATGTCTAAACATACAAGTGTAAGCTATTTTCCCCATTACAGTCCCTTACCAATAATTCTCGTAAGTAAAGAGCATCAAACAATTGTCATTTTGTCTTACGAAGGCCACGGGCAGGTGGGGTCGAGTTTTAATATATTTGTCAATCTTTTTTTAAATCAGCGAGTCAGCCGTTTCCAACTTTTTGAGCTCTTTTCATATTTGGGTTTTTGCACAGCAGGCTTTTTTAAAAAAAAACTGTTTTTTGAGCACTTTTGTGGAGGAACTGTGAACATAAGAAAGTGCTTTATCTGTTATTATATACTACTCTAAATATTGGCACAGAAAGCGCGTTACAAAGTTTCACAGTTGATCATCCAGAATTGGCTGCAGCCACTTATTTACATTTATGTCGTTAATAAGTTTAAAGGAACATTTTGGCTGCCAGAATTGAGGATGGAGTCAATATTTGAAAAAAAAAATGAAGCTGGGCTATTTAACGCATATCAGGGGTGATCTAAGCTTTGTAGAGAAGTAAGACTGAATTTTCAAAACAAAAAGTTAAAACATTTATTTGATAAAATGGCTTCTGCGATTCGCAGAGGGTTTATGAAATGTTGGGATTGATTTGAGGGGTCCCTAAAAAAACTAAAGCCTTTTTTGCGCCAAAATTTTTGCGTTGTTTGGATTGATTTGCGCTGTTCGGATTGATTTGAGGGGTCCCTATAAAAACTATAGCCCTTTTTGCACCAAAATTTTCAGCGTCGCTCAAACCCCAAAAAATAGGAACAATGGCGCAGTAAATTTTTTTTCATAAAAATAAAAACTGCTTCTCCCGATCTTAAGCATTGTACGTTTTTTTTCCTTGCAACAAAAAAAAACCTGCAAAAAGTCACTTTATTCTATATGACTGTACAGAGATATGCTGGATTTCTAGTTCCATGAAGCTAATTTAAGACCTGATAAGGAACGAATGTCGATACCCATCTGGTATCTGTTTCAAGTGTTCCTCCGGATATACATAATATGCCATTTCTTTCCCAAATACAAGTCTTTTTCCTTCATACGGTGCTTCATATTTCTTCTTCACCAACTCAAAAGTGCTTCCATCTTCTGGAAGATCAGCTGGTATCTCCAGCTTTCTTCTGGTTCTCGCTTCTGTTCCATAGTACCATGGAAATCGCATTGGCTCGCAGAACGTGATCGAGTCCTCAGCCCCCATCATGCATCGCATGAATGTCGTGCTCATCGTTCGCCATGTCCCCCACTGCAGTATTTTAACCTTGGGTACACAAATCAGACGGTTGACATTCGAACGTAAAAATGTGGCTCAATTATATAATTTTGTAAGAGAACCTCAAATGCCCAAGTAGAATTTTTCACCTAACTTGAAGCAAATTTTGAGGAGCTTGAGCGTTTATTTTAGACGATTTTGCTTAAAATATTGCTTCAAAATACGCGCGTTCACCGGTTTTTTCTACAAACAATTAAGCGGTTTTTGAGTGGTATCTTAACAAAAACCGCTAAAAATCACGCTAGATTAGAACAATTTTTGGGCGGTGTTTCACACAAAATATCACACAAAAACACTCAAACCGAACCACCCCTCAAAAAGTTCTCAAAATGCTCATTTTGAACCAAGATATATAAAGCGCACTTATCAAAAAAAAGGCTCAAACCTTACTTCAAATTAGGCGGAAAATCTCGACTCGGGTTTGAAGCTAACACTCGAACTTGAATTCATCTAACTTGAACTTGAAATTGGTACTGCTCATTTTTGTACTCAGTAAAATCCTCAATGTTTTAACAAACATTGAAGATGAGAAAAAGCGAAACATCTCGTGTTGAGGAAAGGATGGAGTTAAAAGTTTTCATTTTTGTGTTTATCAGCAAACCTAATAAATAAATACTAGATGTTATTAGTTAAAATACTCGATTAATTTTCTGGTCTCAATTTGAAGTGTCTAGCTAATTTTCAAATATACATATTTTCAAATATATATATATATATATATATATATTTCAAAGCCACAAGGCTAGCAGATCTTTTTGAAGAAGTGCAAAAAAACTGCGAGTGCGCTCACCGTTCTGCTGTTCGATTATATGTCAAGAAAACACGTCTTAATGAATGGATAATCAAAATAAATAAAAATGTTAAATAATTCATAGCAAAATCAGCTGTCAAAATCAAAATGCTTATTAGAACAACTAGGTCCCTATCAACCAGGGAAAAACCCTGAACGCTCCGACTGCCCGTTAAGGTATCTATATCAGATTGTTTTCTAATCTCCATACAATGAAGCCATAAAATTTTCAAAAGTAGTGAAAACTGTCATTTTTATGTTTTCGTTTTCAATTTTGTTGAATCTCCATCCATTCCGCACGCAAAATCGAGCTAAAAATTATAAATTCCTTTTTCTTCAATAAAATAATTTTCCGATTTTCTCAGATATTGTTGGATAATTTTTCATAACAACTTTCACCAAAAATAATTTGATTTTTTTCTCACAAAGCGTACGAAAACTTTTTAATGTCCAATTATAAAGTTTTCTTACGCTATGTAAAAAATCTCAGGTTTTGTGACACATCGCAACTCAAAATGTTTATAACTGATTTATGACTTGAAAGCTTTGGTTTAAATTTGCCAGTAGACGCGCTACTAGCTCGTCAGCGCTTTGCGGCGATAACCGCTTCTAAGTTTTTTTTTTTAAATTTGCCTTATGATATGGCAAACACACATCACGTCGGTGGATATTTTTTGAGTTGCCTTTTGAGAGTTATACTTTGTTGAGAGTTGTCTTTTGTGGCCAGTTGTCGTATTAGGAAAACTCAATGAGATTTGCTTGACAACAAATGTTTTGCGAAGAAATATTTATCATGAATACAAATCATTAAAAAAATTTTCAAACCAATTATAAACAAATTAGAGTTCAGTAATTTTTTTTTCTTTAAATAAATTTGAGAGGGCATCCAAAAGACTTTTAACGAAATCTGCGTGAATGCCACAGAAACCAATACCGTTTTGAGGTATATCTCATTCTTACTATAAAAGCATACTTTTTTCAGTAAAATTAGATTTGTTTTTTCATAAAAAGAAACTGGCCAATGTAAAACTGCAATTATCTAATCATCAAATTAATTTACATAAAATCTATCTGAAAAGTTCCGAACAGCCCAAGATACAATTGTCAGGAAACTATGAGGAAAATTGTCCAAATTGTTTTTTGACAGCTGATTTATAAAGTCCGGATAATTTTCATAAAAGGAATTTGGTGTTTAAGGACAGTTTCAACCCCTGACCAGAAAAGGTTCTAATGATTTCTTTTGTATTACTCTGTACTAATTTAATTGAAAGATTAAAACATCATGTCGAATCAATTCTGTTTCAGATATAGTTTAAGTTGAACAATGTTTTTTGACAGAAAACTTCCTCTCAGATTATAACACAATTTAACCCATGAAATAGATTTTATAATTCATCTAATTTAGTGCTTTTTGTTGTTTCTATTTTTTGGTTGTACGCACTTTTGTAGGCTAATTCTCACATGTTCCTACAAGTTTCAGGTTTGTCTCGCTCAGTAATTTGTTCCGGAGAAATGTCTAAATGTTTTTTGAGTCTTTCTGTGTTTTCGTCAAAATTTAGTTTGTGATCTTAAATTTACTTCTAAAATGTGAAAAGTTGAACTTTTTCTATTTATTCACCGTTCATTTTGACAATTTCAATGTTTTTTTTTGTAATTCTGAGTACTGTAAACTTATCCATTTTGTTTTTTTATTGCAAGGAAATTGGCTGTTTAGAATCAGGATGTTTGATAAATTTTCGTTTTTTTAAACAACATTTATACTTTGTAGGAGAATTCAAAATTTTTTTAATGCAAATTAATTGAACGTTTCTTGATTTGAGTATAACAATCAGCAAAAAAATCTTTCCAGAATATTTATAGTTCCACAATCTAGTGAAAAATTTATAATGAAACGTTTTGATGAAATTGTAATTCCTTAATTGGAAAAAAAACAAAAACAAAAAAACAGTCATGCATGTCGAAAAGCAGTTTCCTTTTTAAAGTTACTTATTTCGATTATAACCCAATCAAAATTCAATTAATTTTAAAATTTGTTTTGCAGTGAATTTCCTTACGAGGCCAAACTATGCATTTTGAGAGTTGTGAGTGGATTCCCCAACAGGTCAAAATCAGATTTGTCGCAAAATCCGCAATTTTGCTGTTTTTCATTGATAGTCTTTGCTGTTTTGGATTTCACAAAAAAATAAACAAAACTCAATATCGGTCAAAATCACTCCAAAAACAAGTTTTTGTGAAGACCGGAACAGTTTGTCGAATCAACTAACAAATAAAAAACATAGCTAGTGTAAAATGAGCTGTTGCGGCATCATTTTAAAGCGGAATTCACTTTTTGTTTGCGGATTCAATTTACATATAAGGTAATGTTCCAAACTACTTTTAACAGGTGGTCTTCAGCGGTTTCAATCTCAAATACTGCTTATCAGTTGAAAGATCAATTGTGCGATCTCAGATTTTGCCAATTTACCACCGATTTCGATCCAACTCCTGTCCCCAACTTACCGCCAACTTTTATATCATTTCTTGGTAATTTATGCCTAATTCTGATCGTAATTCTTTCCAGGATGGATCTCAACTACTGCCAGTTTCGATCTCAACTCCTGCATTCTACCCAAATTCGATCTCATTTCCTGTCATTTTGATCTCAGTTCCTGCCAATTCCTTCGATCTCAATTCCTTCTATCTCATTCTTTTTCCCGCCCGAATCATCTCATCTCAAATAATGATGATTTGAAACCACTATGAAGCCAAAAATATCCCAAATTAGGATTTCATTTGGTGATTGTTGCCAAATCAATCCCGAAAACGTTGCCTGCTGGTAAATTTCCCAATTAGACTAAAATTTGACATTCACCGATATTGTTAAGCAATATTTGTTTGTTTGTTTATGGATTCCACTAAACCTGTTTATCCTCGCTGTTGATTCCCGCATTTCTAGATAATAATTCCAGCTCTGTTTTTCAATTGTTCATATTTAACAACTGGTTTTGTTCAGTAATAAAAAAATTGCGGAAAGCACTTACATTTTGCGAAATCCAGAGCAATTAGCTACTTTCGTTTGTTGCAGAATCCGCGACAAAACAATATTGCCGACAATATTTACATTACAAGTATTTGTGCGCGGAATCCACGGAAAATTTGCAAATGAAATTTAGAGTCTTGTTCAGAGTCTTGTTTCCGAATCAAGGATCATACAGACACCAAATACTGCGCTCTACACAGCAGAGTTTAACCTCATAAAGTTCTCTGTTGTTTTTTATTTTTATGGAATCGAGAGACTATATGTGTAGGTAAATTTGACAAAACAAACTAAACAAATACCTTACCTGTTTTCTGTGGGCATTTGAATTCATCTAGTATAATACTGATTTTGTAAAAATCTGAGAACCAAGCTAACCAAGTTTTAGTAATTTCAACCAAACATAAACGTATCAGCGTCAAAAATAGATCATACAAAATGACTTTATTATGAGAGTTGTGAGTGGATTCCCCAACAGGTCAAAATCAGATTTGTCGCAAAATCTGCAATTTTGCTGTTTTTCATTGATATTCTTTGCTGTTTTGGATTTACAAAAAAATAAACAAAACTCAATATCGGTCAAAATCACTCCAAAAACAAGTTTTTGTGGAGACCGGAACAGTTTGTCGAATCAACTAACAAATAAAAAACATAGCTAGTGTAAAATGAGCTGTTGCGGCATCATTTTAAAGCGGAATTCACTTTTTGTTTGCGGATTCAATTTACATATAAGGTAATGTTCCAAACTACTTTTAACAGGTGGTCTTCAGCGGTTTCAATCTCAAAAACTGCTTATCAGTTGAAAGATCAATTGTGCGATCTCAGATTTTGCCAATTTACCACCGATTTCGATCCAACTCCTGTCCCCAACTTACCGCCAACTTTTATATCATTTCTTGGTAATTTATGCCTAATTCTGATCGTAATTCTTTCCAGGATGGATCTCAACTACTGCCAGTTTCGATCTCAACTCCTGCATTCTACCCAAATTCGATCTCATTTCCTGTCATTTTGATCTCAGTTCCTGTCAATTCCTTCGATCTCAATTCCTTCTATCTCATTCTTTTTCCCGCCCGAATCATCTCATCTCAAATAATGATGATTTGAAACCACTATGAAGCCAAAAATATCCCAAATTAGGATTTCATTTGGTGATTGTTTCCAAATCAATCCCGAAAACGT